ACTCTTTACGAGCAAGAAGCTCCGTCTTCCCCTACTCGTTTCTCTTCTTGTCATGGTCGCTCAGCAGTTCACCGGATGCACAGCTGTCTTTGCTTACTCGACTGATATGTTTATCAACGCGAAACTTGATCCGTGAGTTCGACTTGATGATATCTAATCAATAAAGAAATACTGGAATCTTGAATTCTTAGAAATTAAGTAACTAAGAGATATTGGTACTATAAATTACAAAAATGACAAACTGCAAACGACTCGATCGCTTCAACTAAGTGCAAGTACGGTTCACTAGGACTACAAACCACTGTAACTTTCTTTAGCACTAGTAGCTTTGGGCGTGCTTTGATCCATTCGAAGGCTCTTGAAATTCTCTATTATATGAGCTATAGATCATGTCAATCCGGCAGAGTTGAAGCAAGTTAGAAGTGTTTGTAGCTTGTAGTGCCAACGTCTATCTATCAAGAAACCTACGAGCATCGAAACATTTTGCAGCCGCTAAAAGATCAAAAAGATGGCTTCTGTATTGAGTAGATATCTTATTCTTTTAAATTTCAAGAAAGAGTCATATAAACTTCATAAAATTATATTTAATTAATGAAATTTAGACAAACAGCTCGTTACGCAACGCTGGCTATCGGTGTAGTCTACTTTTTGTTCGCTTGTTCGGCTCCTTTGTTGATTGATCGAGTTGGGCGAAGGCCACTTTCTCTATTCCAAGTGAGTTCAATTGAATAAATAAAGGTTTTCGATAAAATTTGAACAAATTAATGCGATTAATTGCTACAGACAGGGTTTAGTTCCATTTTTGTGCACAGAGTATCAAAGCATTTTTGTTTCCTTTCTTTCTGGCGCACTAATAAAGAATTCAATCCACCAGATGGTGTGTGTTTCCATGTTGAGCATAAAGTACAAGAACTTGTAAACTCGTAGAATAAACTTTTATATCAACTCCTTTTTAGTTGATCTCCTGTCTCATCGCTTTATCGCTGCTCACTCTGTTCACAGGAATTCAACAATACGGACAAGTGAGTCCACGTTTGTTTTGACTTAGAAGCTTAGAAAATCTAAACTTAGTGTCATTTTTGAAAGTACGGCTTTGTTTTAGGCGACTTGGGCAAGCTACGGAACGATCGGCGCTCTCGTTTTGTACATGTGCGTGTATGGGGTCGGCTCGCCGATTCCCTGGATGATCACCGGAGAGCTTTTCAATCAACATGTAAGATTTCGCTTGATTCGAACTTTTAATGCTTGCCTTAAAGAATTCGCAGAATTTTTCAAGTAAATTTGAATCCCAAAATCGTTTTCAGTTCCGTTCAACGGCTGTCACGGTCTCGGTCTTCGTCGCTTTCTTCATGACGATGATTATCTCATCAGCGTATCTACCATTTCAACAGGTAACTAAGTTCAAGTACTTAAATTTCTTTCGTAATATGGATTGCAAGGAAAACTTCAAGCAAAAACAATCACCATACATCTAAACTGCTGATTGTGAGTAGTGAATTGGCCAATATTTCCTACATGAGAACTAAGCAAAGCTCACAAGGGAAAGGCAACAGTTAGATGTGGTCAAATGAGATAAGTCATAGTCCATTCGACGCAAAATTTCACGTTGATTCCAAATCTGCTTTCCGTCTTTGCAAAATCACTTTCTATGAGACGTTACACGTGTTTTAAGTTGGCAAAAATTTGGAGCCAAATAGGTGCCTTTATAAGGGTTCTTTTACGGGCCTTAAGCGTGATGGTAGTATAGTGGATAAAACGCTGGCATACAAAACGATCACTCCATTTTTTTGCTCGTGTACGATTCCTTTTTGGCAAAACGTTTGTTTGCGTTTTCATCTTTTAAGACTTGGATTTTATCTGGCTTTAAAACTATTTTTTATTTCTTATTTTTATTTTATATTTTGCTTTTGAAAATATTCGGAGTTAGCATGAAATTCTGCGATGATTCATCACATTTGTCCACATCCTACTGTTGCCTTTCCCTTGTCAGTTTCTTTTATTTGCACTAATCTTACAAATTACAATACAATACAATACAAATTACGAACTGACCTAATCCAGATGCTACTTGTCTTGCACTAGCCTAAATCACATTCAGATGGTCGGTGTCACGTTCAGCTACATGCCTTTCATTGTGGGCAGTTGTATCTCGATTGTCGTTCTCTACTTCATTCTACCCGGTACGAGATACGAGACAAATGATTAGATTTATTTTCCTAAAACTTTAACGAACTTGGCTTCATTTCTTGAAGATTGATCTACTATCACCTTCCAAATTAAACCAAATTTATGGTTTAGAAACAAAGAATCGTGATGTGAACGACATTGTGAATGAGGCGAGAGCTCGGAATCACTCGCTCAGTCTCGGAATGCCGTGGAATACGCTGTCGAAAGAGGGACGGACTGAGGTAAATTTAGGCAAAATTTCCTCTAAAAAGTTAGCACCAATGGAGTTAAACCCACAAAAAAAGAGAAATCGACTCTATTCACGATAAATTCATTCTTACCGCAAAAAAGGGTTGCATTAAAATTAAAATTAAAATCAAATGAAATCAAAGCAAAACGTAGGTAAAGTTTAATAGCTTAATTGATGGTTTAGGTAAGAATATTTGGTAAAAAAGATATGCTAATTTGTTTGTTTAGTGGGCGTATAACTTCATTGATTCAAAGTGTCTTTTTTTGCAGGGATAAAGAGCACCAAAATATCCAAAATCTTGTAAAGAGTACCAAAATTATCTGAACTCCCGTGTTTTCCGTGTTAAGATCAGCAAAATGAAAGAAATGCTCGTTGAAGGATAAGTTTTATCCTGAAGCCAAGCTGACAGCATGGCTTATATTTGTATAATCGATCATCCCAGAATCAACTAGTGCCTGAATGTAATTCATTTTGAATTTCCTTGACTCATCCACCCAAATATTTTGCTAATATTGCACCAGGTTGTCTGTTTGATACGGGAAAGTAAACTTTGACAAGTCGAGTTCAACTGTGGTTACCTAAACATTTTGATATCGCAAATGATATTGATTCAAGTTTTTAGAATATCAACAAGATCCTTTTCAACAAATCCTTAAGCTTTTTATGTTCTTGAGGCTAATTCTAAGATTCCTTTTTTAGAACAAGCACATAGAGGCACTAAACCCATGAATATACTCGTGTCGATTGGGAAGCATTCGTCGACTACATGAACAAAAGAACATTCGAGAGTTTTGTGAAATTCTAGGCAAATTTTAGTTTGAATTTTAAATAAATCGGACATTTTGTAACCTTTCCTCTCTCTGTCTGCGTTTTAATTCATCTCAATCAAGTATTGCAATGTTTCCTTTTTCTTCTTTTCGATTTTCAAACTATTTTACTTTTTTGGCTCAATCAAATGCTCGTATTTTTTCAATTTTTCACTCTTTTCCAATCTCTGTTCAATTCGCTTTTTTTAAAATTTTAATATTTAATTAATATTTTATCTAATCAAAGATTGCACTCAAATTTTTGTTGAAACAGTTGAACCGTTTTCCTCTCATGATTCAACAACAATTGAAATGTTTCATCAAAAATTTCAATTATTCACAAGATTGGAGAATTGGAGACAAGAATAGAAAAGCATTGAAAAATCTGGAAAAAATTCATTCAACAATGAATTGTTCTTTCTGTGGATGAATATTGGAATTAGCCTGCTCATTCTTCTTGTGGTGCTTCCGGTGTTGATTCTTCTGGTGGTAGCAGAGCTCCTCCACACATCCAATTGAGCACCTCGATGGCCTCCAATTTGAGCTCTCCAGCATCATAGAGACTCTCTTGGGAATCATCCGGTAATCGGATTTCAATCGACTTCCCACAGTTCAAAGTATCTGTTTCAGTCTGAAATTTCTTGTTTTTCTTGTTTTAGTAAAAAGAGAGCAAGAAAGATTGTCGCTTGTTGATATCAGTTCCTGGCAACTTATTGAAAAATACTTTTTTTTGTGATGTTTAAAGCGGTTCTTTCGGGAATTGCTTTTTGAATTGATAAAAACCTCGACCAGATCATGACAATCATGAGAAATAGTGATGTTGAAGTGCGGCTTGGCCCATTTCGAGCAAGAGCCGGCGATTTCGAAATGGCCATCAGCTCCGCTGGCCACATTCTCTTCCTTAGTGTCGGCCCACTCGTAATCGTCGGGATTTGCTCTGAAAATTGAGGGCTGGTAAACGACTCTGTTTTAAATGAAATAAGACTGTAAGGCAGATCTGTTTGAGTCGCTAGAGTGTTTTTTATATGCAGAAAGTTCCACAGTCGGACAAGAAGTGAACATTTTACTGAATTCTTGCCGGTACAATACTTGATATTTCATTTTCTTCTATCTTGAACTCACTCAAAGACTCGAAGTCCGATTCCGGCTCCAGAATAGGGTTTTCCATGGCATGTCACAAATCCCTTGGCATGAGCATTGTGCGCTTTCCCAAAGCAGAAACCAATAGAAAGAGCGAGGAGTAAAAATATGAATTTCATTTCTGACTGGAAACTAAATATCAGTTATTTTATACTTTCATACGATTGAATGAAAGAGTGAACAGCAAAAAAGTAAGCAAAAATTTCAAGGTCGTAAAGTACTGGTTCCTGTTTTCTATAATTAAAAAATATTAAAATGTAACTGGGGAAAAGTTGAAAACAATTGCCGATAGTTGAAAACAATTGTAATACAGGTAGCTTGTAAGAGGTTATTGATGGCAAATTTGTAGTTGAGCAGCAGATTCGTCTCAAAATATTTATTTTTAAAAACAACAAACAAGAGAAGAAGATGGTTGACCAAGGAAGAAGAAGAAAAAAGAACGCAGTTGGGAGCTTAGAGTAATACCAGAGTTGAAATGAAAAAGGCACAGAGCCACGAGACACTGCTGACTGATTTTTGATAGTGATAATATCGATAGTAGTGGGTGTTGCCCGAAGAGAGATCCACGTTCACTTCCACCTGCCCTCCACCTTCACTCGATTTGAGCAATGTCTCGAGGAATTCGATCTTCTTCTCTAACTCCTAAGATCTTATGAGTTGCTGAAATTGTACTGTTTAAACCTTAACGGGCTTTCCATCATCTCTTTGTTGTCCACAATCCATGAATCTACAAATAGGTCAAGGTTGTTACCAGTTCAGCCTCTTACTTTTTGGTCTTCTCCCGAAACTCCTCTTTCTCCTTGCTTTTGGTTTTTGCATCGATTCTGAAAGAAGAGCTTTCAGAAAGAGTGCTTGCATCTAAAGGGACCTTCTTTGAAAGCCGAAACTAAACTAAGGTCTGGTCGTTTTGGCTTACAAGAGAAGGTCAACTAAATGTGTTGGCCAAATCACATGAGCCATAGGCCATTTTACGCAGAATTTTATGCTGATCATGATGCTGCTTTTCTTTTTTTGCACTCTGTCAAAAGTTATTCACGTTTAAAGTTTTGTAAGGAGTCCCGAAAATCAAACCGCGACATTACAACCTTGTCTATTACATTACAACAGCAGTTGCAGGGGTAACCCAGTGGTAGTAGGCTGGGAGGCAAGGCGAGGACTTCCTGGTTCGAATCCGGTAGCTGATTTCATCGGAACGGTCTGGGCTCCTTATCCATATTAGTAGTGTGCCAGATGCTATACTATTGCATGCCAGATGCTATTGTGTGCGACGATAGAGAACACATAAGGCATTCAAAACCGAAAAAAAGAAAAAAAGGTAACCAGCTACCGGGCTCGAACCGGACAGCCACCATCTTGCGTCCCAACTCACTATCACTCGGCTACCGCTGTAACTGCCAAGACCGCGGAAGACAAGGTTGTAATTTCCCGGTTTGATTTTTGAAATCCCTTGCAAACCTTTAAACGCGTATAACTTTTGACAGAGTGACAAACTCTATAGCAAAAAAAAGAAAAGCAGCATCATGATCAACGTGAAATTCTGTGTCGAATGGTCGATGGCTCATGCGATTTGGCCAGCACTTCCAGTTGACCTTCTCTGGTGTATTAGCGTCCGACTTGTAATCGCAAAGAATTAAAAAAAGGCCATTTTTTGCAACACATTTGAAGGATTCATTTTGAAAGATATAGCAAATTCATTTGTCGAATTGATTTAAACCTAAAAATGACATATTTTTCAATTCTTTACGCTTCAAATCGCGTTAAGCAAATATGGTGCAACCCTTGGACACATATTCGAATTTCTGCCCTTACGGTTCGTTGATTCGCTGCTTGAGGTGCAATCTAAACTTTTTTCGTGTAAATTTTTAATGAGTAAGTAAACTGACGCGAGATTTCTGCAAGTTTTCAGCAGCGTCTCGAGCTCGTTGTTCGTCGATGTACTGCTGTTCTTACCACTGAAAAGCCTCGAGTTTAATTTAAAGTGAATTCTAATAGTTGGCTGTGTGTTCGGTTCATTTTTGTTACGAATCACTTTTTTATCTAAGCAAAATTGTCGAAAGAATAGGGCACACACTGTTTGAGATCGACATTCGCGAAAATCGTCAGAAACAGCCAAATGACGGCGATCACGAGAAGAGCGGTAAAAAGTGAGACGAGGAGAAAGGACTCTTTCCGACAAATCTCCCTCTCCTTCTCTTCCTCCCCCTCATCCACAACTTGACGATACAATTTCTGGACATCGATTTCTGACTTTTCAACTTGACAGTACATCGACTTTTGTGTCCTTTACTAAAACATTCAACTTTATTTGCAGTTAGACATATCTAGTAAAACCAAAACTCTGAAAAACTTAAAGCAACCAGAAATTCGGAACTCACCTTGAGAAGATTGAAATTGTGGAGTAGAATTTAGCTAAGAGAACGCGATGATATTATTCACGAGTAATGTTTTCTTCACCTTGGCTTTTTGAGCCAGAAATTCATTTCAGAATAAAAAAGTCGTGCTGATACGGATAAATATGCCCCAAAAGCTTGTGCGCCCCAAAAAAAAACTGATAAGAGAAGTTGTTTTCAAAAGCGAAAATTTTGATGCAAGAAAATTGTGTGGTTTTCTAGTTGCAAGAATAGTTTTTGAATTTAAAGCGCTTTTTTAAATTTCCCTGTTACATTTTTATCCTTATCTTCAAACTAGAAGGGAGCAAACATTTGCGCAAAAGTTCTTTTTTTTTGTGTTCGCTCTTTCTGCCAGTGTTGAATGCTCATATTTGAAGAGAAGCTTGTTCTTTGGATTGAAAATTTGATTGAATTCATAGTCCCGCAGTCGAACTGAATGATCCGAGCACGCGCATAGCGTTAAACTGATAGTCAATGACGTTTTCGGTTCGGGGTTACCAGGGTATACGCAGCTTATTTACTTGATCAACGCAGATTGTCAGGATTGCATTATTTCACAGTTTGTCTCTATACTTTGTGTGCTATTTACAAAATAATTTCCTTTTTCGAAAAGATCAAAATTTATTTCATAAAATGCAAAAGAAAGCACGAATATGAGCACAAATATATGTACAATGGGCGGTTAAGAAGTCAATCAGATCAGTTTGCTTCAAAATTTAAGGAAAAAGAAATTAAGGCTATTTCGAATCACAATTACAATGACATATACAGTTCACAAAAGTCGGAAAAAAGCGGCAAGGAAAAGTAGTTGCCGCAATGGGGAAAGAATGACCACAGAGTTGCGGTATTGATGACTGTAAACGTTGCCGGAAGATAGGTCAATGCTGATGTTGATGTTGTTCCCTCTTCCCTTGCCGCTTTTCAACTCTTTCAACACTCCATCAACCATCTCTTGCACCATGTTCATCTGCGCTCGCAGCTTTTCGATGTCTCTGCAACATGCAATCGTCTAACTTTTTCTTGAGAGGGGTATCGAATGTAAATTAAAGCTAATGACATAATCTTGCACTACCCAATAGACCTGGGAACTTTCGGCGTGAACGCCAATAGGTATGCAACGGAAAATGGCATATCTCGGTCAATTTCACTGCGATATTTTTGATTTTGATATCAATTGACGTAGAATTTAATTTTCTATCGATTGAAATCAAAGACAAAACGATTGGAGTGAAATTGACCAAGATATGGCATTTCTCAGTTGGATACCATGTTCAAACCGAAAATTTCCAGATCTATTATTCAATAAGGCTAACATTTAAAGGAAATATGAAAAAAACAACCATTAGGTAAGGGCTACTGTATAGGTTTGTGATTCGTTTTAAACGAAAGGGCAAACCAGATAATTCATTGGGTTTCGAGGATCACCCAAATCCAATTACCTATTCTAAGTTATTTTTTGATATTTCCAAAGTTTTTCTAGGGTTTTCGGATGCGCTGAGCACGAATTTTAAGTTTTTTTAAGATTCGAGAGCTTGAGACTGTTTTGATGACCTTAAGGACCCTATAAACTTTTTAAAATCTATGAAAAGAAAATTTTCTAATCGAAAGTGCTCGGATTCGATTTCTGACAACAAGTAGCACTGTTTGAGGTTTACCGATTATCTTGGAGATGGCGATTCTCTTGTTGACACAACTCCAATCTAGAAAAGCGCTCGATTAAAAGACTCCATGAGTGGACTAACTTTTTTTGCAATTCGTTGACATTTCCCATCAGCTCGACAACGCTTTTCTGTATTCTCTCGATTTCGGCTCGATTTTCAACATTTCTAAAAAGTAAGTTATTCCTTTCCATCAAAAAAATGCTTTTCCCCACGTTTCGTTGATTTTTTGTTCCAATTCTCGCAATTCTTCTTTTTTTAGTTTCCTGGAATCAGAGGATTCTCTTTGTTTTTATATGGTAAACATACAATTGATCTCGACAAGTTTCAACCAAAATCCTATCCTCACAAGCCGCCGATGTTTTATTTCTAAAAGCTATAGTTGAAATAATTCAAAGACTGCATACAAATATTGTCTAGAAACAGCTTTTTGCTTTATAGATTGCTAAAAATTTCTGATATTTAACAAGAGTTATTCGCTTCTTTATAGAAAACTATTGTATTAATCAGCTTTGAGTTTTTGCAATGTGCATTGTTGATTCTTTGAACAGGAAACAAACTCTTTGCTTTCCAAGAAAACTTTTGCCAAGAAAACAAACTCTTTGCTGTCGAGGGCTTGACCGGCAAAAACATCGCCGACCACAAAGATTACTGCAAAACTGAAAACCATTAGCGATACGAGAAAAACGATGGTCTTCCGCTTCCGATCTCCGCTTTCTCCAATAGCTGCTCTAAATTTGCTTCACTCTAAAAGCGTTAAAAGTTGTGGAAATTACGGTAACGGCTTGTAGAAGTGTTCGTTCATCGGTGCTGTGTCATAAAAAAACTCTTTTCTAATCTTTTGCAATGCTTCAAACCCATGAGGGTTCCATTTTTTTGTTGTTTTTCTCAAAAGTTAACTGATTGAGTCGAATGTGACTTAGATAAGGGAAAGAGATTTTCGAATTTTATGATATCAGAATAAGCAAATTATTACGATCCCCTTATCTCTGATACATACGGCTAAACAAGATCATTCAAGTATTGCACAAAGTTTTGTTGCAGCAGAAAATATTTTAAAAAATTGAATAAATTAGAGCGGCCTTTAAGTCCAACTAAACAAGAAAATAGCCCAAATTGACAGATAAATAGAACCTTAGAAGAAATGTTTATTGAAAAAAATGGAAACTATTTTGATGGATTTAGAGGGTTTTATTGAATAAATACAGTCGAATCTCTCTATAACGGAATGGAAGGGACCAAATGATTTTCCCGTTATTTAGAGCTTTCCGTTATATAGACATTTCCGTTATGTAAAGCTTTCCGTTATATAGAGCTTTCCGTTATGTAAAGCTTTCCGTTATATAGAACTTTCCGTTATGTAAAGCTTTCCGTTATATAGAGCTTTCCGTTATGTAAAGCTTTCCGTTATATAGAGCGTTCCGTTATACAGAGCGTTTCTTTATATAGAGCTTTCCGTTATATAGAGCTTTCCGTTATATAGAAATTTCCGTTATGTAAAGCTTTCCGTTATATAGAGCTTTCCGTTATGTAAAGCTTTCCGTTATATAGAACTTTCCGTTATGTAAAGCTTTCCGTTATATAGAGCTTTCCGTTATGTAAAGCTTTCCGTTATATAGAGCGTTCCGTTATATAGAGCGTTCTGTTATATAGAACGTTCTGTTATATACAGCTTTCCGTTGTATAGAGTATCGTTTCATATAGCTTAGCGTCGTCGGACCAAAATTCCATTCCGTTATATAGAGTTTTCCACTATATAGAGTTCCGTTATAGAGAGAGTCAACTGTATTTCTGTTTGAAATTGACTCATTGCAACCCAATGCAATTAAGCCCTCTCATCACATTTTCCACGGTGAACCAAAAATACAAATGAAATTCTCTCAAGCGGGCCCGTTCGTAGAAAGCAATTTTTCATTTCGAGAGCTAAAATTAATATGAAAAGCTTCTCTTAATTGGCTATGTCACTTTGAAGAAACATTTGACAACTTTGACTTTGAAAAAATTCTTTAAAAGATAAAAAAAGACTAACGTCAAAATCCTGAAAGCGCTAATGATCTGGTGCATTTGAAATCATTTTTCATTGTCAATGAATTTATTGTAATTGTTTCTCTAAACGATTTGTGCTTGGTTAAGACGTCTCGACTCGACATCACAATGATTGGAGCCCATTTTGAACTAAAAAAAGGCATCATTTAATCTTATTTAGAAATAAACAAATAAAAAAATCAATTAGCCAAATAATTGAAGGAAATAGTGTAACCCACCTTAACATATCCATCCTCTCCCCAGGTGGTTCCCCACGAGTTCTTGATTATCCAATAGTCGACTCCATCCTCGCTTCCTAAATAGAATCTTCTGAATTTAAATATTATAAAACATAGAACTTTATCAATACTGTTTATATCCACTTTTCTGTCAAATCTACATACAAAGTTCTAGAAATACGCAAAGCAAAATGGAAATAGTGCTGTTTCTCGTGTTTTAACTGTTATTGATGACTTTTTATTTGAAATAACTTTGAACTCTGTTAAGCAAAGTACATTAAATCATTTTTTTTCAAACTATTACCTTGTAATCTTGATATTTTGTTGTTATAAAGACTTTCTACAATGATTTGGTTAAGAAAATCATTTTTATTTAGCTCTACAGTACTGGACAATGAAATATCATATTTGAAAAACGATCGTCACTTTCGCGCGCGCTGAAATGCGTCAAAAAATACGGTATTTCTAAATATTAATATTGCCATTATGTAGCCCTTGAAAAGAGCTTTCAGAAAATGTATAACACTAATACTTTAAACTCAAAGACAACGATGTTACAGACGTGCGAACGTGACGATCGTTTTTCAAATATGATATTTCATTGTCCAGTGCTGTATATGTCGTAGCCGATTATGAATGAGTGGATCTAGGAGCGTCCAACCATCAAGTATTTGGTATCATTCAACGCAGAATCATTCATAATTATGTTAAATTTTTTAAATTAGAAAGATTCGATAAAAAGAAAAAAATTATGGGGCTTCAAAGTTTTCTCTTGAACAAACAGTTTTTTGTTCTAATTTTTTTTTCTTTTTATAAAATCTTGCTAGTTTTAAAAATTTAGCATAATTATGAATGATTCTGCGTTAAATGATACCAAATACTTGATGGTTGGACGCTCCTAGACCCACTCATTCATAATCGGCTACGGGGGTCCCGCCGATTTTGAATAAAACGTTGTAGCGCCGGCAATTTTTGACCTAAACTCACGAATTTAGTACCAATCGACGCAGAATTTAATTCGCTACAAGATGATATAATATTGTCCTCATAGATTAAAGGGTTGCTCCACCAGAAAGATTTGCCAAAAAATTTCATTCATAATCGGCTACGACATATATAACAAAACCTCGATCTAACGATAACCTGAATATAACGATAGTAACAGCCGATTCCTTGGCTATCTTTATATAAAGGTTTAACTGTATAATACCAACCGAATCCTGTGATGATCATAGCGTGACCTCCGAGGGCATTTGTTGCATTACATGGTGCATCAAAAATACCACCTCCGAAGTATTGGAACTCCGAGTTGACCACAATTCCTAAGTATTTAATATTTAAACAAAAAAAGATAATAGACTTACCGACTCCAATCGGTCCATCGGTGATCAGGGCATCCTTGATTTCGTCGACCGTTGATCCAAGCAAAGAGATATGAGAAGAAACGGTGACTTTCGGAGCTGGTGGCTAAAAGGGTTCACTGAAGTTTAGAAATCGACTCAATTTTAATCAAAATCAAATCAAATAATCACAGATTTTCCACTGATATTTCACTCAGAGTTGAACTAAACATTTTGAGTCTATGAAAACAGTTGTTTTATTCAAAAAACCTTGCTTTTGCAACTCATATCGGCTGAGGCGGGAGTTTCTGGATAGGGTGTGTCCTTTTCGAGACCGATTCCCGGATGATTCTTGTAATATCTGAAAAATTTCAATCTTTCTAAATTCTTATTCAGTAAAAATAAAGAAATTCAAATCAAACTAATAAATCATATTTGGAAAGTAGCTGTCAATTGTCTAATATTAGGTTGAGTGCGAAGTCTTGCACTCTTCCTTTCATTATTTATTAGATTGGCAAGTTATAAACGATCGTTTTTGGGTAATGTGTTTTCTGAAAAAACGGCTTATCCAATCAAAAAACGGTTTGCTTGATTCAAAAGCCCTATCCTTAATCTACAAAATGGCTTTTTTGAATTTTTGAAAAATCTTTTATTTTAGAACTTTTTCAGGCATTTTAATGTTCAAAATCCTGGTTTCTAGCATTCATGAGCTAATATATTTTTGAATGATTGCATACTTTTTAAAATAAAACGATCGAGCCGTTCTTTGTCTTTTAATCTTTTTTGTGTAATCTTGCTTAAATTCAAACAAAAATGGATTAAATTAGCACAAAAGTGCATTTTGAGCCTAATTTGAAAATCAACCTTCCGAAGATTGGATTGTTCTGAAATGTTGGGAAACTATGTAATCGATAAAGCGTTTTATTTTAAAAAGTATGCAATCACTCAAAAATATAATAGCTCATGAATGCTAGAAGCCAGGATTTTGAACATTAAAATGCCTGAAAAAGTTTTAAAATAAAATATTTTTCAAAAATTCAAAAAAGCCATTTTGTAGATTAAGGATAGGGCTTTTAAATCAAGCAAACCGTTTTTTGATTGGATAAGCCGTTTTTTCAAAAAACACATCACCCAAAAACGATCGTTTATAACTTGCCAACCTAATACATTTAAAACTAGAGTAATGTGTTTTTTTGTTATAACTTGGTCACGAATCGCCGAATTACTTTGTAGTTTGTAAGGTTTTGAGAATAATCCGTTTAAAATTTCATTCATATACTGACTCGACGCTGAGATATTAGCAATTTAAGGAAGGGTTAAGACTTAGTTTACAAGCTAAAAGTAGTAAGCCCCTTGAATATCCCTTACTCGAAGGCAACCTCGGAGGCACCTCCCTTGCAGATCGTTCCACCATAAACACAAGTCATTTGCTGAAAATTTGCTTTCAAAACCACTCGACAGCATCACTCACAAATTCGGCCAAGTCGATCAACTCTTTGTTGTACTTACGCGCGTGTTGCGCCTCGAGAATACCGGCAGCACTAAAAGATTGTTTTGCATCGATAAATCTTTGAAAATTCTCATGAATACAGACCAGCTTTCAAAATGTTAATAAATTCGGGTAGATTCATTATTTCAGCTTTAACACTGAATTAGGCTTTCTGGTGTTTTTTCATGAACCAAAAAGTATTCAAAGTAAAGTTTTTTCACCTGAAGGTCCAGCAACTTCCACAACTGCCTAAAGTATAATTTCTTGAAGACATTCGTGTACGATAGCCCACCTTGATCTTTCACCGGTGTTATCACTCCTTGATCTCTCCAATCAAAGCCACCAGGAAGAGGTTCATCCTTGGCTGGATCGGCCACAATTGGATCCTCTTTCAGCTCCTCCTCGCTGAAGGTGATCTAAATGCAGAATATGTGTTCGGGTTTAAAGCTTTGGAAGTAAGTCCATTTTCTCAACTTTTAGCTTTCAAGGTGAATCTATCATTATTTGACCCAAAATTTACCTCGCCAGTGAATCCCATTTGTCTCAGCATTGCAGTGATTTCGTTGATCTCGGTTTGCGAGAGGCTGTCGTTGGTATTTGCCTAAACTTTCCCGATTTCAGAACGGACGCTAGTTGATTACAACAATGCAAATGAAACTTTAGTTTGCTTTAAGCTGAATTCAAACTAAAAATACTTGACCATCAAGCTGATCAAGTTAGAATAGTTCTCAAGAAAACGAAAATAGCCCCACAAAAACTCACCGCTCGTTTCTCGACTTTCTTCAGCTTTTTCGGGTGATTCTTTTTTCCCTTCTTTGCCCTTCTCACTGCCGCTTTCTTGAACTCTCTCAACTTTTTAGCTTTCTAAAAACAACTAGAACTTTAAATCTTAATTAATCTTTAATACTTTGTGATCGATGGCGTTGCTCTCGGGATGGAACTTTAGATCCTCCTCCTTCAACAGCACTTGCTAAAACAAAATTTACGCATATATTTGATTCATGACATTGGCTTATATATTTCTGATAAGGAAATATCAACCGGGTGTGGTGGTCAAATGACACGAGCCATATACTATTCGACGCTGATTCGCTGATTCCGAATCTGCTTTCCGTTTTAAAAATAGAAACCGTATTGAAACCGTATTGGATTAAAATAGGAACGGTATTGGATTCAAATAGGAGCCGTATTGGATTAAAATAGCAACCGTATTGGATTAAAATAGGAGCGATATTGGATTAAAATAGGAACGGTATTGGATCAAATAGGAGCCGTATTGGATCAAATAGGAGCCGTATTGGAACCGTATTAAATTAAAATAGGAACCGTATTAGATTAAAATAGGAACTGTATTGGATTAAAATAGGAACGGTATTGGATTAAAATAGGAACGGTATTGGATCAAATAGGAGCCGTATTGGAACCGTATTGGATTAAAATAGCAACCATATTGGAAAAAAAATAGCACTCTGGCAAAAGTTATGAGCGCTCAGTTTTGTATTGAATTTTAAACATCATATCTCGAGTTTACGAGCAGATTTCCCAGACGCTTTGAAACGAAGTGGTGATTGAGCGGCAGTCGAACGGCAGTCGGCAGTCGACGATCGAACCATTCTCTTTTTTTTAATCTTCTTTTTTTTAATCTTGCTCAAATTCAAACGAAAATGGATTAAATTAGCACAAAAGTGCATTTTGAGCCTAATTTGAAAATCAACCTTCCGAAGATTGGATTGTTCTAAAATTTTGGAAAACTATGTAATCGATGAAGCGTTTTATTTTAAAAAGTATGCAATCACTCAAAAATAGCTCAAAAATATATTAGCTCATGAATGCTAGAAACCAGGATTTTAAACTCTTACATTAAAAGGCCTGAAAAAGTTCTAAAATAAAACATTTTTCAAAAATTCAAAAAAGCCATTTTGTAGATTAAGGATAGGGCTTTTGAATCAAGCAAACCGTTTTTTGATTGGATAAGCCGTTTTTTCAGAAAACACATGACCAAAAAACGATCGTTTATAACTTGCCAACCTAATATATGGATTCTGTCATTTGGCCAACACACCCGGCTGGCATACCCTTGTGAATAATATTACAGCAACTTTTGTCATTCTAACAAACCTCCGAGAACTCTTCAGGGCTCATGTGCATGAATTCGTTCATTTTCACTTTGAATTTCTTCCCCTTCGTTTTTTCTTGCAAGGCTTTCAGTCTTTTGTTGTTTTTCTTGAAGTTGGCGGCTAATTTCTTCATGTTCTTTTTCTTGAATCGTTTGTTGAATCTAAACATATGCTAATAGTATAGAAGCCTTAATAACTGCACTTTTTGTGGAATTTCTTGAAGTCTTCCGTGTCGTCTCCAAGGTCGGTTTGAATGTCGGTTGCTAGCTTGTCGACGTCGACAACCTAGGCAAATGAAATTTCTTCAAATACTGCTTAAGCAATTTAATGAAGCCTAAAGCCTATTAGCCAAAAGGATTTTGTGATCGCCTAGATGATCTATAATACGATCTAAACTCTTAAGGAACCCTAGTAATTCAATGTCCATTGTTTTATCTTTCCCACCTCCTCGCCTGCCGCATCATCCGCATAACTGACCACAGCAAGGGCGGCCAAGAAGACCAAGATGAGGATTGTCTTCATCCTAAATAAAGATCTAGAAAAAGAAATAAATTTATTAGATAAGATTAAAAAGATTATTGTTCTCTTTCAGCAAGCTGTTTCAAATTTCCAACTTTTGTTGATCAAAAACCGAAAGCTTAAAAAGAGCAAAATCTTATCTCAAAAAAGATCGCCGATCTTATGTTTTATCTCTTCTCCAATTTTCCGCTTTTATATCAATCCTTTCGGCGTTCCAGCCACAAAACCGGTAACCGGTAAACCGTTCGGTGTGTTATCATTCTTCAATTTTCCTTCCTCTTTTCACGAAAGTCTAAAAAGCACGTATCGCTAGATGAAAAGATAACTTTTTCTTTGATAACAATCCAAAAATCTCATCATTCAGTGATCAGTAAATCTCACCATTCACCCAATAACTTTCATTAGTTTCATCTTCAATTTGCGAATTTTGATAATTAGATCCTTTAAGTATATTCTTGTTTGACGATTGACTTGTGTTACTTTTTCTTTCCCTGAGATGGAACCCTGAAAATTTGTTCGAATCTTAATCAGTCCAATAGAAAGTTATTATTAAAACTTTTAAGTAACACAAGTCAATCATCAAACAAGAATATTTGAGAAGATTCAATAACTTTTTGATCATTGCTTTCATAAAAGGGTAAATTGTGAACAGTCACACGTGCCTACTCGTACAAATAACTCAAAAGAAAATTTAAAGCACAATACATTAATTAAAGTTTTGAAAAAATCGAGAGAGACACAGAGAGATTTATTTTGTTAAAATCATTTTTCAATGTTCATCTGCTCGATTATCTGGGGCATTGACTGTCGCTTTTATCGGTGATTGTTGTCGACTCTAAAAGTATTAGCTAGGCAAGTTGTGTTCTAACTTGCTGGGTTGATACCAATGAAGACTCAAATCATACGGAAAATGTGAGTAAACAGATTTCTTATAAATCAATAAGGTCTAGCATAAATGACTGAAATGATTTCAATAAAAACAAATATAGTAAATGCTCTTTTACTAACAATCTTTTAAGCACTATAACAAAAAACTATTCACATAAATCCAAGCAAAAATCTAAGGTTAAATTTGTAAAATTAAAGCAATCAATGAAATAAACAATGAAATGTTTATATGAATTGTTGTTGTTCCATCAGTTATTGTTGTTCCATCAGTTATTGTTGTTGATGGAATGGACATTGTGGTCGTTTTCTTTGGTTTCTTTGTCGTTTTCGGGGCTTTCTTCGTGGTCAGTGGGGGTTTTGTGGTTGTTTCAGTGGTTGTCTAAAAGGAAATTGTACTTTTAGAAAAGCTGCTAAATGGATTATGTGATGGATTATTATGTTAATCAAATTCGCATTAATTCTCATCTGGTGAAGAGTTTTTTCGATAACACTAAATGCACTAGAACAATTTAAAGAATCGAAAAAGTTAAATGAAGCTATGGATTATTCTGTCCTCGTTGAAAACTGTAAATGAAATTCAATATTTTTCAATAATCTTGCTTGAAACAGCTCGAATTGAGCGAACCTTTCGAAAAATTCATACCGTTGTTGTGGTGGTGGCTTCGGTTGACGTTACGGGCGGTGCTTTTGTGATGATTGCTGATGAAGTCGGCTTGTGGCTTGTTGTGGTTGTTGTATGGGCTTTTGTGGTCGTCATTGTTTTAGTTGTTGTAGCTGTTGTCGAATAAGTGGTACTGGTAAGGCTTGGGGTTGTCGTTTTTGTGGCAGTTGTGCTAAATGGGAAGAAATATATTATGGCTGTAAAATTGCATATAGTCTTTCAATCTTTCTAATTATTTTTGAGAGCAACAATCATAAATAAGCATATTTCTTTTGCTTCAGAAATATTAAATAAAAACTAGCCAAGTAACTTCAAGAATTTTATTAGTAAAATGGGCTAAATGCGCACATTCTTGAAGATTTAATGATCTCTACGAATATCACCAAAAAGCTATTCAGACTAAGTGTGGATAAGCTACCGTAGTTGGAAAAAAATAAGTTTAGATTTGTTTATCACGAGCCATTTACCTAGATTTAGTAGTGGTGGTGGTTGTAGTCGTTGTAGTCGTTGTGGTTGTACTCTCCGTCACATTCCAATTGCACAAATCTTCCTTGCAGCAAGTGTAGGAATCGAAAATATCGTTCGTTGGGCACAGTTCCAGTTGATCGTCTAGATTCGTGGCACATCCCCAAAAGTAGATATCGGAGAAAAACTAAAGCCAGCATCAAAATATCGAAGGTGAATTCGATTCGCAACTCACGCTCAGGTGGCCAATCACACAAGAGTCGCCAGCGAAACATTCAACTTTAACGGCCTAAAAGCTTTAATTGGTTGAGTGCTTTCGCTTTATAATCCAATCAGTTCTGAGCGTTTGTTTCTTGTAAGATTTAGAGCATTTTTTGAAAGCTTTTCGTTTTTGACTTGAAAAATGAAACTAGTGAAAACTTTAAAAAATCGTTAGCTTTTTGTTCTTCATAAGAATTAACAAAATCTCTTATTATCTGAGGCTCATGCTAAAGATCTTCACTTCAATTGGAACCCTCTCGGTTAATCGCGACTTTTTGCGTTCCCTAAACCTCACAAGAACCAAAAAAAAGAAGGAAAAGCTCTTTCGGTTAGGGTAAGAAACTTTCCACATGATATTTTGGATATTAAATTACTGTAATTCTTCTATTAGAACGACATACTCCAATAGAACGACACCCTTTTTAACATACTTAACATTTTTTTTCAAAACGCAGAGCAAACATTCTTTTTCTTTCCTATTTTTATTCTTTATGAATCTTTACTATCCGTATCGTTACCATGGGGGCCGCGATTATCCGAGGGGACGCAAAAAATCGAGATTAACCGAGAAGGTTTCCATTAAAGTGAAGATATTCAGCAAGAGCCTCAGATAATAAGATATTTTGTTAATGTTTATGAAGAACAAAAGGCTGGCGATGGAGAAAATGCAGCTAGCAATGATCTTTCTATATCTAAGGAAAGAAAGTGTCGAGCTTTTGATGCTTCAATCAAATAATTAAGTATGCAGACGTAGCATCAAACAACGCTGCCTTTTTATCGGGCTTTGTAAAATAGAGCGACATGCTCTAACCTGACGACAGTTTTTGGAGATATTGAAAAATCGAAGGACATGTCTCTAATATTAGGTTGAGAAAAAAGTAATGTCGGTTTTGAATTCCCGTTGTTGGCAATTTTCGATTTCTTTGCTTATGCGATTTTTTTCAAATAGATATCAGCTAGACACTTCTATACTTTCATATTATATTTGATTTTTACAAATTTTTATAAATTTAACAATATTTTGAGGTACAAAATGCAAGACGAAAAGAGCTTTCGACTTTCGAACCGCTTTGTGGTATGATTTTAAATAAGGGAAATCAACGAGCTTGGTTGGAAACTTCTGTCTCATGCGCCTTATAGTCCGGACCTGACCCTATCAGATTATTTTGTTGTTTCGGTCGTTGAAGAGTTTTCTTATGAGAGAAAAGTTCGAGAGTCATGCACAGATCAAAAAAAGCAGTCGACACTCATTTTGGCTCGAAAACTCCACATTTTTTTTGAGGATGGGATCAGGGATTTGCGACAAAGATGGGAACAAGTCATCAATAATAATTGAGAATATCTCGTTGATTGATGTGCGTTTGTTTATGTTTTTAGCAATAAACAGTTTTGTGACAAAAACCGACATTACTTTTTCCTCAACCTAATAAAACCTTTAAATATTAGGTTGATGCATAAGTCTTTTCGTTCCTTTTTGTCTGCCGTTTCAAGCCAACAAATGCACCAATTAAACTACGGTTGATTTCATTAGAAAAACCAATTATTTTTCTGCAAAATAACATTAAAACGGGTTTAAAAATATTTTATGCCTGGATTTTCTTGAGAGTAGGAAGTCGGGTAGTCAAAAAGGGCTAACTCGATGATGCGGTTTAGACACCTTAGCTAAAGAAAACCTATCTTCGTGTCAATAGATAAAGATAGAGAAAAAAAAGTTTGATATTGCGCCAAAATTTCAGAGAAATTCATTCAGCCAATTTTCCCGTAGAGTTTTTTATAGATTTTTACGAAAAAGGCGTTTTTCACTCTCGAATTTGCTTGAAAGTGAACCGAAATTGATTTAAAAAGATGGAAATTGAACAAAAAAAACACTTTTTTTATAGAGCAAACTATAGATTAATTGGTGAATTTGTTACTTTTTAACAGAAGTACGAAAAAAATGAAAAAGACTTTTGCATCAACCTAATACATCAATGCAAAAAATACAAAAAATTGAGTGGGTTTGCCGCATTTTGCCTCTCTCATCTGCTTTAATTCTACAATTTTAGCGTTTCTGAACGTCCCGATTTATGGGAGATTTGGATACTTTGAAGAAAGGGGAACAAAAGGTGCTCACACAACACTTCCACACATCCAATTATGGCTTATTGTAGTTTACTCATGGGTTGAACAAATGCTTGGTGGTTTTTTGCTAATCGAAGAATTACGGGAGCTAGGCTTTGAGGCTCATGAAATGCAGAAATTTGAAAACTCGAATGATAGTGAGATAGCTATTAGTTGTATAATAAGGATGATTTTTTTATAAGATCATTCTAATCTGTGTAAGAGCTTACCTCATCTGTGTGAGATGGATCAAAATTGAGATCAACCCAACAAGTGATTGAACTATTCGATGGAGGCCATGTTGGAGGGCTTCCGGTTGGTTCTGTCCAATTGCCAGCATTACAAAGGCTTCCTTTACAGCATTGGTATTCGTCGAAAATGAAATTTGTTGGGCATAAATCTCCAAGAATCTCAGCATCACAGCCACAACCCCAGAAATATCCTTCACCGCCAAGGACTGAATCCTGAAAAGAGTAAAAGAATCATTGTTTCCGAGAGCAAAATCAATTTAGAATTGCATTTCGGGAAAATCTTTCTAATCTAAAGCTGAAGAAAAACTTTTTTGAATAAATAAAGAAATTCAGCTGGCCAAACGATTTGAAAGTTGTGCTCTTAAGGTTTAATTCAAAAATTTCGATGTGAAACTTACATTTCGGGTTCCACTGATACAGAAATCTCCACATTCACATTCGATTTGCGTTGCCTAAAAAACTTCCCTAAAAAATCTGCATCTCTGAACTCACATCTTCTGAATGGTACGGCTCATCATTGGCATCGATCCAACAAGTGAGGGGTCCACCTGGTGAAATGGTTGTTGGACTAAAAGAATCTGATAAACAGAAAGAGTTGCAAAGTTTAAATATGAACAATGAAATCCGCCTACAACGGGTTTTCCCGCTCGTGGTTTGGGCACAACGCATATTCAAGTCCGACGCAAAGTTAAAGGCGCTTCTTTTTGCTTAAAAAGGTTATTTCTATTATATTTGAGCTTTTGGTAGAAAAAGTAAAAGGTTTGACGGAAGACGGATTCGAACTCTTGACCTAGACTCACTCTAGCAATCTAGGACTCTAGCAGTGCCAGCACTCTAACCACTCGGCCATTGCTCGCCGCGCGAACCGCTTCGTGTTTCGCGTATTTCAGTTGTTTCCCCTAAAACTCACTTCTGCGCCCGCTAGAGCTTCGACAGACAAACGGACAGACTTGAAATTACATAGGTTAGATAAATTTCCTGATCAAATGTGTAACTCTCATCAGAACACTCACACGGTTGTAGTCGTCGCAATACCGGACCAATTTCCGTTGCACAAATCCTCCTCACAGCAATAGTATGTGTCGAAAATATCATTATCTGGGCACATATCTAGCTCATCATCAAGATCCACAGCACATCCCCAGAAGTATATTGTACCAAAGAAAAACTGGAAATCAACCCCCATATTTTCTGGCAAGAGATGTCAAAGCTTACGTCAGTGGAGCCAGCAATGCAGTAGTGGCCAGCGAAACATTCCACTTTTAAGGCCTGAAAATAAAATGAACTTTCGGATGACTGAGACAATGTTAATCTCAGGCCAGAAAAACTAAAGCTCTAAATTTGATCAACTTTGAAAGAAGCACTGCACGAAGTTTTGCCGTGCTAGCCAAATCTATTATATACAAAAAGCAGTGTCTGTCTGTCTGTACGGACATTTTCTCGGCCGTGTTTTGACCAATGAAGCTAAAACTTCTTTAGAAAACCCTTGCATCCATTGTAGTAATTAAATTAAAAATTAAAAATTAAAAAGTCAAGATAGAGTGGCACCACAGGGGTTCGAACCTGGACCGTGCGGGCCGTAGACAAGCGCGCTACCGACTGCGCTACGGCGACTATGCGTTTGCCTCAAAAAATCCAGCGAGAAAAACCCGCTGCTAGGCGGGTCGGTAATCGCAATCGGTAGCGCGCTTATCTACGGCCCACACGGCCCGGGTTCGACTCCCCGTAGTGCCACTCAATTTTGCTTTTTGATTTTTTTATTTTAAATGTCAAAACTACAATATACCCTAAGGTTTTCTAAAAAAGTTTTCAGCTGGTAATGTTATAAAGAGGCTGTTTTTTCTGACTTTTCATGAGTAGCCTAGTTTTCACCAACTCACCTGATCTGAATGAGATGAGAATGAGCTGTTAGTTGTATAATACGATGCTTTTTTAATGATCATTCTAATTTGTGCAAGAGTTTACCTCATCTGTGTGAGATGGATCAGAATTGACATCAAGCCAACAAGTAATGGAACTATTTGATGGAGGCCATGTTGGGGGACTTCCGGTCGGTTCTGTCCAATTAGCAGCATTACAGAGATTTCCCTTGCAACAAGAATATTCATTTAAGATCAAATTCGTCGGACAGAGATCTCCAAGAATTTGCGAATCACAACCACATCCCCAGAAATAGCCTGTCTCTTCGAGAGTTGAATCCTAAAAAGAAATCAGATTCGTTGATGAAAGCTCAATTAAGCCCGGGTTAGCACTAGAGAAAAAGATGTAAAACTCACATTTCGGAATCCAGTTATACAGTAGTCACCACATTCGCATTCAATTTGGAATGCCTAAAAGAGGTTTTACTTTCAAGAAACAGAGTCTTTTATTAGAAAACTTTAAAACATTGGATTTTTAGAACCATCTTTTATCTCAAAGAATGCTTTTGAATACCCACTCCATCTGAGTGATAAGGCTCATCGTTAACATCAATCCAACAAGTGAGGGGACCATTCGGAGTGGTTGTTTCAAGCGCTGTTGTAGAGGCTATTATCGTCGTTGTGGAACTAAACAGAAAACATTCATCCATTTATGTATTTTCTGCTCAAGCTTTGTTATTCAAGCCCAAGATTGATAGAATCTTTGTTTTCTCGAATCTAGTTGTCATCTGAATTATTATTCACCTGATTCCTTACTTCAAGAGCTTTAGTCATTATTTAGATTTCGAGTTAGTTAAACAATCATTAGTTAGATTCCCATTGTGCAATTTTAAGGAACTTGCGCGAAAGTGGCGCGGCGCGCTTTCTAGAGCGTGAATGGGCTACGGTTTTGCGCACAAAAATTTCCCATTTGCCATTCTTTTCATTTTCCAATTCCATGATGGAATTGTGAAGGTTGTCCATTTTCTTCCCCCTTCTGTAAAATTTATCCACCTTTTGTAGAGCATTTTAAATTTATCTTCCTGTTATATTGTTCCTCTTATGTTTTCTGTTTAAAATTTTTAAATAGTTTTGCTTTGTTTCTCTCGACTCCCTTCTACTTCATTGTCTTCGAATCTTTTAACGAAACTTAGCTTAACCAATTCTCTTTCAACTAAGTCTACAAAATCTACCAAATCAAAACGGCGTGATCTTCTTGGGGTTTTTCTTCTTGAATTTACAATTTACAGTTTACAGTTAAAGTTTTGTGTCTATTTATTTTAGAAAAAGGATTGGTGAGTAAACAGGTATGGAGTAAGGTTAAATGGTCATAAACTCATTGGCAATTGTTTAGCTCTTATCAATAGTTGTATTGCCTATTCCATGCCGCAAAAAAACAATTCGTTCAAAAGAAATCTTTTTAATGATCCCCTCCGACTTATCGCTTACGTAGTAGTTGTCGTTGTCGTTGTCGTCGTTGTCGTATCAGACCAATTCCCTGCATTGCACAAATCCTCCGTGCAGCACACATATGAATCAAAATAGTCGTTTATAGGGCACAGATCCACTTCGCCATATCCCTCAACAAAATCGATTCCACATCCCCAAAGGTAAGCTTGACCGAAGAAATACTAAACGTCAATACTAAATGTTATTCTATGCAAGAGTGACTCACATCAATGAAGATAGATACACAGTAATCTCCACGCAAACATTCCACTTTGATCGCCTAAAAATAGAGAGTAAAACGAGCATTTACTATAGAATTATTTGTTACTTTTTGTAAAATTTATAATTACCGTAAATACTCTAATAGAAGCCTATAGAAGCGTCGCGTAGTCTGTTTACTCTCAAACAAACGCTCATATCTCAGTACCAGTACGTTTGTTACTGCGCGCGCTTAGATATCAAATTAAAGTAGAGAGGATGGGTGATTTTTTAAGATATAACACATATTTTAATCATTAACCTGCGCTTAGAAAAAATGATTGAAAAGTGGCAGGAAAAGCCGATTTTTCATTAGTAGAGTATTTACGGTAGTATCATTCGGGTTTCTATTTTCGCCTTGGCTGAGTAAACTAAAAATTCCTTAACTTACAAGGTCAGTATGATATGGTTTATCATTGGTGTCAAGCCAGCAAGTGATGTTGCTGGATGGAGGCCATGTTGGGGGACTTCCGGTCGGTTCTGTCCAATTGGCCGCATTGCATAGATCTCCTTTGCAACATTGATATTCGTCAAGAATGAAATTCGTCGGACATAGATCCCCAAGAATTTCCACTTCACATCCACATCCCCAGAAATAGACGTTTTCTTCAAAGACTGAATCCTAGAGAACAGAAATCAGATAGAACTTCGTTTTTGGCTCACATTTCGGACTCCCATTATGCAATATTCTCCGCACTCGCATTCAAATTGTATTGCCTAAAAATCTCTTCTCAAAGTTTGAACCAGTAAACTGCAAAGTTTACATAAGGAAACTCAAACCCACGTCATCCGAATGAGTTGGATCTTCGCTAGCATCAAGCCAACAGGTAATATTTCGTTTTGTCGAAACAGTCGTCGTTGAGAGCATTGTTGTTGTGGTGATAGTCGTTGTCGTCGCATCAGACCAATTCCCTGCATTGCACAAATCCTCCGTGCAGCACACATAGGAATCGAAAATATCATTTGTGGGGCACAGATCGACTTCTCCCTCTTCCACGACAAAATCAATGCCACATCCCCAGGCATATGCTTGTCCGAAGATGTACTGAAAGTGATCATGTAGCATCTGTCAGGAGATTGTGCGACCTTTTGCACGCGCCTCGCCTCCTTTGCCATTGGCAATCTAACTTTGAGCTCAAATATCTTGGTGTTGGGCTGTTCAGTTTAAATAGTTTTTAAACCAATCGACAGAGAAAGACTTGGCGCATTTAATGATATCAAGAATATTTAAATTGGAGAGACCAACATCAAGATATTTAAGTTCAAAGTTAGATTGCTAATGGCAAAAGGGGCGTGGCGCGTATAGAATGTCCGATAGTCATTTCAAAATATTCAAAACTCACGTCGATCATGACCGACACACAATAGTCGCCACGGAAACATTCCACCTTGATGGCCTAAAAATGAATAATAGCTTTTTATAAATATTGGGTTGATGAATTGAAAACTGCGGGCTATTGTCATATGTGACAGTTTGAGCACTTTCTTCAAAAGAAACCCATTTTGGTGTCAATGGAAAAGTTGTAGAGAATCAAAAATGAAGCTTATATCCAAATTTTCAGAACGATTCAAAAACCAGTTTTCAAGAAATGCCAAATTTACGAATTTCCACAAAACTTGCATTTTAAGCGAAACTACTAAGTGTATCTTTTTGGAAATTTGGCTATAAGCCTAATTTTTAATTCTCTACAACTTCTCTATTGACACCAAAATGGGTTTCTTTTGAAGAAAGTGCTCAAACTGGGACATCTCCAGTCCTCCATTTCTGAGTCTCACACTTGTCTCACACACAAACCAAAATCCTACTACGAAAGAGGAATCCGCAAATTGCCTGTAAAATGGGCAGAAGTCGTCAATAATAATGGAAATTATTTGGAATCAATTCATGGTTTTATGTTGAATAAATTTTAGTTCAAAGCCCGGCAGTTTTCAACTCACCAACCCAATAGCTATCTCCACCCATTCGCCATAAAACCTCTTTTTGGGGGGTGGAATAGCTTGATCAATAGCTTGATTTTAGCTAAGGATAATCTCAGTTAAATAAAAATTTAGCTCTCGGTTGAAGAAGAATATTAGTTCTGTAGCTCACATTTTCCGTATGATATGGCTTATCGTTGATATCAAGCCAGCAAGTGATGTTGCTTTCCGACGGGGGCCATGTTGGCGGACTTCCAGTCGTTTCCGTCCAATTGGCCGCATTGCATAGATCTCCTTTGCAACATTGGTACTGATCAAATAGAAAGTTTGTCGGGCACATCTCCTGGAGAATCTCCACGTCACATCCACATCCCCAGAAATAAACATCTTCACCGAAAAATGAGTCCTAAAACAGATTATTTTTAAAAGAACATCAATTTGACTAACATTTTTTCGGATTCCGCTTATACAGTACTCTCCGCACTCGCATTCGATTTGTAATGCCTAAAAACGATACAAATCTTTATCCATTTATAAGTTACATCTGAATTTGAATATTATTAAATTTGGTCTTGAATTCGATATTGAAATATTGTATATTATCTTTTAAAAACAGTCTGAAAAACAAGCTTCTTTGCTAGAAGACCAATTGTTCCTTTTCATTACGAATCCGTCGTTAAACCCACGTCAAGCGTGTGAGCTGGATTCTCACTGGCGTCAAGCCAACAGGTAATATTTCGAGTTGTTGTCGTCGTTGTCGTCGAGAGCATTGTTGTCGAGAGCATTGTTGTCGAGAGCATTGTTGTCGTTGTCGTTGTCGTTGTTGAATCTGTCCAATTTCCCCCATTGCACAAATCCTCCGCGCAACACTTGTATGAGTCAAAATAGTCGTTTGTCGGGCACAAATCAACGTCTCCGTAGCCCTCAATGTAATCGGTGGCACATCCCCAAATGTAGAATTGACCGAAAAAATACTAAACGTCAATCATATAGTCAAAAGATTAAGAGATTTGAAATTACGTCAACGAAGATAGAGACACAGTAGTCGCCTTTCAAACATTCCACTTTGATTGCCTAAAAGATGGTCAGTAAAAGAGCATCTCCTATATTGGTTTTCATTGGAACTATTTCAGGCTAGACATAAGAACTATGAGCTACAAAAATGACGAACTGTCATACTAAAAACGCTTCTAACTTGCTTCAAATCTGCCAGATCTATAGCTTTAAGAATAGAGAATCTCAAGAGCTTTCGAATGGACTAAAGGATACCCAAAACTATCAATGCTAAAGAAAGTTACAGTGGTTTGTAGCCGACTCGATAGCTTCGACTACGAGCGAGTTTAAGTCGGCTACAAACCACTGTAACTTTCTTTAGCAGTGATAGTTTTGGGTGTGCTTTGATCCATTCCAAAGCTCTTGAGATTCTCTATTTTTTTGAGCTATATCATGCCAATACGACAGATTAAAGCAAGTTAGAAGCGTTTTTAGTTTACGTTTGTAGTTTGTAGTGTCCATGTCCATTTTAGGCAGAACTTACTGATCTGTTTACAGAACAAATCTGTTTACTCACAGTTTCCGTATGATATGGGTCTTCATTTGTATCAACCCAGCAAGTGATATTGCTTTCCGTTGGAGGCCATGTTGGGGGACTTCCGGTCGGTTCTGTCCAATCGGCTGAATTGCATAGGTCTCCTTTGCAACATTGATATTCGTCGAGTAGAAAATTTGTCGGACACATATCCCCGAGAATCTCCACTTCACATCCACATCCCCAGAAATAGACTTCTGTCTCAAAAAATGAGTCCTAAAACGTATATTGATCATATAAAAAGGAAAGCCCACATTTCGAATTCCCATAATACAGTACTCTCCGCACTCGCATGTGACTTGAATAGCCTAAAATACAAGTAGTTAATGTCTGTTCTCTTTGAAAAACGGTCGATTGAAAATCGCGACTTTCTTTTCCTCTAAGTTTAGTCTGCTTTTATTCCAATATCTCGAAACTCACATCATCCGTGTGTGTCGGATCCTCACTGACATCAAACCAACAAGTGACATTTCGGTTCGATGAAACAGTTGTTGTTGAGGGCATTGTTGTCGTGGTTGTGCTAGTAGAGGTCGTAGTCGCATCAGACCAATCGCCATTGCACAAATCGTTCGTGCAACACTTATAGTTGTCGAAAATATCATTTGTCGGACACAGTTCAGCTTCGCCCGCAAAGTCAGTCCCACATCCCCATGCGTAAACTTGGCCAAAGAGATACTATAAAAGTGTATTTGTGAATCTACAAATGAAGGGATTCTAAACAACTCACATCGACGAAAATAGATATGCAGTAATTGCCACTATAACACTCCACTTCTAGTGCCTGAAGAATGGATTGGTTACAAATAGAAAGTTTTATTTTATTTTAGGCATAAAGTCCTGTCGAGTCTACAGTACTGGACAATGAAATATCATATTTGAAAAAACACTTTCGCACTTTCGCGCGTCTGTAACTCCCTTGTCTTTGAGTTTAAACTATTAGTGTTATACATTTTCTGAAAGCTCTTTTCAAGGGCTACACAATGGTAATATTAATATTTAGAAATACGGTAAAGATAAGGAAGTTACAGACGCGCGAAAGTGACGATCGTTTTTCTAATATGATATTTCATGGTCCAGTAGTGTATTTACAGGTTGGCGTGCAATTACGGAAACTGAAATGGCGCTTTCTTCTGAATGGTTATAAGGGCGTGCACTCAAATTTTTGACAGTTTTATCTATTTTTCTTAGCAATTAAGATTTTGGCAACATCTTATTTGCTTTTATTTTTGAAATTTTAGAATGACGAAGAAATCGGAGCACAGATCGATCATCATCGATCGATGGAAACGGGGAATGAGACAGAAAAGCATCACCAGTCGATTGATGATGGCTAAGTCTGTTGTTTCCAAAACAATTCAACGCTACAAAGCCTTGGGAACGAATTCCGACTGACCAGGACGAGGCCCAATGACAGCAGTGATAACAAAGGAGACGGTGAAGAAAGTGCTAAGCCTAAGCCTAAGCCTACGCTACAAAGGAGCCCATTCCCAACGAAAATTAGCCTCAAAATTGGGTATCTCAAGATGTTCGATTTCAAATGATTTCCACTTAGATTTCAGTGTTTGGAGTTTTCTAGAGGCCAAGGCATGCTTTAAAGCTCATACAACCATTGATTGTTTGAAAAATTCTCTTTAAACGGTAACGTCGTCTTTCTTTCTGCCATCGTTGATACCTTTCCGAGCTGTCTCCAAGCATGTATCGCAGCGAAAGAAGATCTTTTTGAAAAGAACTAAGCTTTCTTGTTTTTTTCTGGGATATAAAGAATAAATTTGTTACCTAAGACTATTGTTAACAACAAACAGTAGTTATTAAACCAGAAATATATCAATTTCCGTAATTGTGCGCCACCCTGTATTTCTTAAAACTTTTTTTAAAGTCAGTATGGACAAAACTGGATGTAAAAGCATATTAGTTCTTTAGCTCACATTTTCCGTATGATATGGCTGATCATTGTTATCCACCCAACAAGTGATGTTACTCTTCGATGGAGGCCATGTTGGAGGGCTTCCGGTTGGTTCTGTCCAATTGGCCGCATTACATAGATCTCCTTTACAGCATTGATATTCGTTTAGAATGAAATTTGTCGGGCAAAGATCTCCTAGAATCTCGATTTCACAACCACATCCCCAGAAATAGACAGGCTCTTCGAAGAATGAGTCCTAAGTTTTCAAATAAAAAGTGAGTATAGTAAAAATCTACATTTCGGATTCCAGTTATGCAGTATTCTCCACACTCGCACTCAATTTGAACAGCCTAAAATACATTTTTTTTCATTTGAAATTGCTGGTTTAAGAAATCTATCCAAAACTCACCTCATCTGTGTGTGTTGTGTCTTCACTGACATCAAACCAACAGGTGAGGGG